GGGGGGAGAGGAAAGAGCGGAAGCATTCGACGCTGGAAGGTAGTGAAAGAGATGCGGAGGAACTCAACGCTAGGGAATATAGGACAGGAGATGCGGAGGAACTCAACGCTAGAAGGTAGGAAAGATGCGTATTTGGCCGGGGCGAGAGAGAGAGGGGAGGGGGGACTCCGTGGGAGTTAGAGCTGAAAGATTAGGCTCCTACAGGAGTCTAATGGGGAGGGGGTGGTGGAGACTCCTATAGGAGGTGGGCTGGGCAGGACTCCGGGGGAGTCTAAGCTTAGACTGGAAAGGTAAGAGTAGCGGAATACTCAACGCTAGAAGGAAGTGATGGTAGCGGAGCAACTCGACGCTGAAAAAGAAAAGAAGCGGAGAAACTCGACGCTGGAAAGGGGGTAGGGAGTAAAAGATATTGAGGAGGTGGGGGGAGAGTGGGAGGGGATGGAGGAAAGAGCGGAAGCATTCGACGCTTGAAGGAAGGAAAGGAGGTGCGGAGGAACTCAACGCTTTAGAACATAGAATAGGAGATGCGGAGGAACTCAACGCTAGAAAACAAGAAAGTTGTCGATTGTGGAGGGGGGGGGTTTGGGGTAATTGATTGACTCCGGGGGAGTCAGGCCTTGAATGGTGATACTTAGGCTGAAGAGATGAGAGTAACGGAAGAACAACACTAGAAGGAAGAGATAGTAGTGGAGCAACTCGACGCTGAAAAGAGAAAAGTAGCGGAGAAACTCGACGCTGGAAAGGGGTAGGGAGTAAAAGATGTTGAGGTGGTGGGGGGAGAGTGGGAGGGGATGGAGGAAAGAGCGGAAGCATTCGACGCTTGAAGGAAGGAAAGGAGGTGCGGAGGAACTCAACGCTTTAGAACATAGAATAGGAGATGCGGAGGAACTCAACGCTAGAAAACAAGAAAGTTGTCGATTGTGGAGGGGGGGGGGTTTGGGGTAATTGATTGACTCCGGGGGAGTCAGGCCTTGAATGGTGATACTTAGGCTGAAGAGATGAGAGTAGCGGAAGAACAACACTAGAAGGAAGAGATAGTAGCGGAGCAACTCGACTCTGAAAAGAGAAAAGTAGCGGAGAAACTCGACGCTGGAAAGGGGTAGGGAGTAAAAGATGTTGAGGTGGTGGGGGAGAGTGGGAGGGGATGGAGGAAAGAGCGGAAGCATTCGACGCTTGAAGGAAGGAAAGGAGGTGCGGAGGAACTCAACGCTAGAAAGGAGAAGAAGGAGGTGCGGAGAAACTCGACGCAGGAAGGAAGTGAAGACTGAAAAGATTTTATACTGGTAGCCTTGGGGAAAAAAGTTTTGCTCCTGTTGGGGTCGGGGTTCAGGCACTCTTGGGAGAGAGATAGGGGGAGATTATTTGCTGAACTGGGAGCGCTGAAAGAGGGGGGGGGGATGGGGGGGGGGGTTGGGGAACAGGCAGAATGAATTTCTGTCCTTGTATTCAAGATAGTGGATGTCGTGAGTGCGAGCTGTGAGGATGAATTGATATCCTCTCCAAATGTATACATGCATCACGCTGAGGTTGTTACATGTAATTGGGCTAGACGATAATAACGAGTGGCGTTTAAACTGGAGGCGTTTAAAGTGTTGTGAAGTGTCAATAGTGGTATGTTGAATGGAAGTGTATGTGAGCTCAGGCAGAGCGTCACTGCTGCGACAGTGAAGCGGGGGGGGGGGGGGGGGAAGGGGAAGAAGCTCTGCAGCTTCTCTGCTGTTGCAGAGGTGAGGTGGAAGTCAATGTCGGGAGGCGGGTACGCTTTCCCGAAAATGTATAACTGCTGTGCAGTGTTGGGGAGTGGGAAGGAAAGGAGCTGCGCTGTGACAGTGGTGCAATGGGAGAATAAGGCTTGGCTGAGCACCTCTGCTGTTGCAGGTACGGTGGTAATCAGTATTGGAGCATTATAGGTGCTCCCACAAAATATTAAATATCAGAAGTGATGTGTGGAGATGAAAGTAAGTAGGGGCTCAGGTAGAGTGTCACTGCGGTTGTTGTGATGCTATGGTGAGTGTAGCTCAGCGGAGCGCTACTGCTATTGGATAGGTGCAGTAGTGATCGGTATTGGAGAGTTTTGAATGCTCTCGCAAGAATATTAAATACTGTTAGTAGTGATATGTAGAGATGAAGTGAATAAGGGCTTAGCTACAGGTGCAATGGGTGAGTATGGCACAGTGGAGCGATTCTGCTGCTGCAGAGGATCAGTATGGAGACAATGTGTGCTCCTGCAGAAGCATTTACTGCTGTATTAGTGCAGGGCAGTGTGACCAGTGTTATTGGACTTGTAAGTGTATAGAGCTTGCTTAGAGCATCCCTGCTGCAGTAATAGAAAAATTTTGGCCAACCCCTAAATAAGTTGGAACTGTGGTGAGTGAAAATGTATGGGTGTATGGGATAGTTTAAGTTGTGCTTACACTTAAAACATTTGAATTGTGTGAGTGGGGGAAGGGATGTCGAAGATGTATATAGGACATGCTTTGCCGAAATAATCGGTTTGCTTGCTTAATGGAGAGAGATAGTGTTCCTCCAGTCAGATCAGATATGGTGAGGTGGATTGGGGGATTGCAACTGATGGTAATTCAGAGAATCTCAAAACCCGAAGACTAGTGTGAATATGGCATTATGGATGTGGGCTGTATGATTGGAAATGCATCCTTGTGTAGATTGTGATTGCATTTGGAATGGATGTGGAGTGTAATAGGTTGGATGAAGGTCAGCTTCTGGGCCGGCTGTCCTAATGTCTGGAATGAGAAACAAGAAAAATCAGAAATTTAATTTACAACATGATACATGTATCGCAAACATGACAAAATTGTTTTAGCTGATATCTAATGCAAGGCATCTTGATAAGAGCATGGACAATTGTGAGCTTCGTTGTCGCAGTCTGCGAGGATGATCGAGGTGGCCATTTGTTCCCCCACAGGATAGCAAGTGGATGCAGAGCTGGGGATATGGGGTGTAGCTTGTCTGGTGGTCCTAGAAATTCTTCTTGAAGATTTATTTAAATGTCCTATTCATGCAGTCAAGCGAAAAGTTAGTTTCTTTACCATTTTCACCTCCAGCCGGCGTGCCATTATAAGTTACATATGGCACTGTATATGCAAGTATGGGTCATTGACGTATTACGATTGGACTTTTGTGTTAAATTCTCACTGGTTGGGTAGTAGTCTTTACAGAAGTTAAATGCTATCAGATCTGGCAGAGGTTTTTATTTATTTTATTTATTTATTATTTTATTATTTATTATTATTAATTCATTCATTTATTATTATTATTATTTGTCAATTTATTTATTATATCAAATCCCAACATCAAACGCTTAATTCACTACTTAGTGGAAACTGTATGAATGGAATGTTAGTTATGGGCTTTACTTAATTTGTTTAAATACATGTTAGGAATCTTAACTTCTAAAATTCTTAATCTTAACTAAATTTGCAAGCATGTCTGTCTCAGTTCATTCACGAGTCTTTTATGGCTGGGTTCATTCATGAATTGTTGAGAGGGCGGAACCATATCGAGTTTTAAAAGCGCATTGGATGAGGGCGCTGCTCCTTCGCTATTGGCTCGATGGGGCGTCAATCAAGATCGGAGGCCGAGTTTGTTTACCAGTGTTGTGTGAAGACACTGCGGCACACCAGCGACTAGTTTGGATGATAACAGCGCGGTCCATCGACGTATCAATATGTCGTGGGTTAATGTCGTGATCTTTGCAGTGATTTACTTATGGATTTGTGGACGGGTTTGAAGGGTGAGTTCTTATGAATCTTCTAATCACGCGAGTCTTGTTTTTAAAAGATTTTTAAATAGGTTTAGTCTTTGATGGAGATTAGTTGTTTCCGCGATGCTTCCCCTTAAAAGCATACTATACGTTACCGAGGGTGCACCGCTAGGAAGCAGTGAGTTAGGCTTTTGTGATGTTTTGGATCGTCGACGCCTAGAGAGTTTAGGTGGAGTTGTGGACTGCGTTTGCGTGAGGCAGTTTGAAGTGGAGATGGAAGAGCTGGTGGGCAGCACCGGCGTTTTTGCGGGAATTCAGGCTCGATTTTGGCAAGGCTGCGGCTGAATTCTCAGGGAGAGTGGAGCTCTGGCTGGAGTTGTTGTTGTTGTTGTTGTTGTTGTTGTGTGTTCTTCCGTATCGATAGGTTAAATGGTGCGATGCTGGAGCGTTTTGTAGCGGGAAGCGAGCTTCAAGACAAAGATAACTGGAGTGGAAAACTCAGGTTATTTATAATGCTTCCGTAATCATCTAATAGGGCTGATTACGGAGCTGACAAGGAGCCAGCCGTGTTGATTATAAGCACGTGATCCTCTCGAAATTAGTTTATGAATAAACCACACTTATATAATAGAAATGTTTCTGATTCACGCATGCAAATTCATCTTCAGATAGTGTCTTTATATAATGAGCGTGCAGTAGATCGCTCAGATTACATTGGGAAAACAGGCGACTGCTGCAAATTGCGCTTTAATGTTTAGCTGGTCAACTGTATGGTATGGAAACCTTATTTACCAGCTAGATGAACCCGTCTCATACAGCTGCCATTGCAAGGCTCAGACACTTTGTAGAGAGGAATTTAACACAACCGCCTCTAGGAGTCGCCAATGGAAATAAAACAGACACGCACAAAAAATGTGCGTACGCCAGCCAGAAAGCTGCCGTGAAGCTGCGCACATTCCCACGTTCAGTTCATTGTTAGTAAATCCAAACGTGAGCGATTCTGAGCGTGAAACCTGGCGTACGCAAAGTTTTTGTGCGTACGCAGCGTTGATACATGAGGCCCCTGGTGTGCAACCTGCTTAATAATTTAATTGCGGTGTTTACTTCAGTAATGCCACATGTCTTAACTCCATTTCTGTTTAGTTCAGTTATGACTTTAGTCAGATTATGGTCATCAAAAACGGCTGTTTGGAGCTTATGTAGCTACAAAAATGTAGCTATGCCCACTAAAATATAATAAGCATAATGTATATTTGGCTTCATAATGATTATGAATGCTTCACATGAGTCTACACCATTTCTTTTTTGAATCTTCAATCCCTCTCTTCAGTTCTTTCACTTCTTCACTTTTCTCATCTTTAAGATGTTGGCAAAGTTTCTCCAATAATTCCTTTTGTTTATGTTCTTCCAGCTTCTGCTGAAGCTCCTGAATGTGCTGCTCTTTGTTCTCCCTGAAATCATTGGACTCTTCTGCTTGTTTTCTGGCTTCAACTTCATGTTTCTTCTTTATCTGTTTTATTTCCTCTTCATGTTTCTGTTTCATTTCATCTCTCTCTTTCTCTTCTCTCTTTAGTCTTTCTTTCTCTTCTTCTTCTCTTCTCCTGATCTCCTCATCCTGCTCTCTTTTCAGATCTTCAATCATTTTCTTCCATCTCCTTCTCTCTTCTTCTCGTCTCTCTTCATCTTCATGTTTTCTTCTCTCCCACTCCTCTTTTCTCTCTTTCTCCAGCTCCTCATAATGTCTCTTTGTCTCCTGTCTCTTTTCCTCATATTCTCTCTCCTTTTCTTCTCTTTCTCTTCTCTGTTTAAGTCTCTCCTCCTCCATCTTCTGTCGTTCTTCTTCTCTTTCTCCTTCAAATCTCTTTCTCATTTTCTCCAGTTCTTCTTGTTTTTCTCTCAGTTGTTCTTCGTGTTTCTCTTTTCGTTTTCTTTCTTCTTCCTCTCGTTCTCTCAACCTTCTCTTCATCTCATCCTCCCATTCTCTCTGCTGTTGTTTTATTTCTTCTTGAATCTCTTTTCTCTCATTTTCAGCTTCTTTTATTCTTCTTTCCCATCTCTGTCTCTCCCCCTCTTCTTCTTCATTTCTTCTTTTCTTCTCCAATTCTCTCTTCTTTATTTCCTCCTCTTGTTTTCTCTGTACCTCTGCTATAATTCTCTCTTGTTCATTTCTCATCTTTTCTTGGTCTTGTCTGTATTTCTCTTCTCTCTTTCTGTCTTCTTCTTCTCTTTCTTTCTGCTGTTGTTCATACTGTGATCTCTGATTGTCGATCTCTCTCATCATTTCTTCTATTCTCTGATCATATTCAGCTCTCTGCTGTTTTTCCTCTTCTAATCGTTTCTGGTGTTCAATCTCTCGTTTCTTCTGTTCTGTTTTCTCCTTCTCTTTAAACTTTTTTCTGAGTTTTTCCTCTTTCAGCTTCAGTTGATTCTCCATTTTCCTTCTCTCCTCTTCGGCTCTTTGTTTTTCTTTCTCGAGTCTCTTCATCATGTGCTTCATCTCCATCTCATATTTGTCTTGTAACTCTTTTTTCTGTTTCTGAATCTCTCTTTCTCTCTCTTTCAGTATTTTCACCATCTTCTTCTTAATGGACATCTCTGCCTCCTCAAACATGTCATTAGTGAAGTATCGACCCTGATTATTACTCTTCACCTCTTCAATCAACTTTAGTAGTTTGATCACTTGAGTTTTGTCTTGTTTTTCATTGTTATTGAAAGCCAGGAATCTGTTTCCACAATCGCTGATCAGTTTCTTCAGGTCTGGATTGCGTCCTTTTGTCACATAATCCTCTATAGGCTGACCTTTGAGTTCGTCTCCTCTGGTGAACAGAACGATGCTGAACTGAGCAGATTTTGTACCAAATATCTTCTTGATCAGATCAATAGTTTCTGTCTCCTCTTTTGTGAATCTTCCCAAAGTCAACACAATGATAAACACATGAGGTCCAGGAGCTGACAGTGAAACACATTTCGCTATTTCTTCCACCACTTGTTCATTTGTCAGTGCCGTGTCGAAGAGTCCTGGAGTATCAACAACAGCTACTGATCGACCATCAACTTCACAAACTTCTTTCTCGCAGACAGTCGTCACTGAATCCATGCTTGCTTGACTTAGGAACTCCTCTCTTCCCAGAATAGTGTTTCCTGTTGCACTCTTTCCATTTCCTGTTCTTCCAATCAACACAATCCTGAGACACTGCAGATCTTCTGTACAATCAGCACCTGAAAATCACACATTCATTATTATCATAAAGCTCTATTTCTGCTGTTTCTCACTTCATATCTTAATAAAAGAAATTGAATACCTACAATGAACAATATCACTGATGTTTACTATCACTGAATTCATTGGCATGGTTACATTATTTTAAAATGCCCACACAAATATAACCATTTATTGAAAATACAAACCAGTGAATGTAATGTGTGTTAGGTGCTTGATCTTGACTTTTTGCAATTACTATGAATTATGTTTGCTTGTTTAAATGTCTAAAAGTTAGATTTTGCACCTCTAATAAAATGAAAAACCAAAATCTTATTTACAGCCAAATAATCAGATGGAGCAGGTAAGGTTTACCCACTCCACTTTGCATTTTCATCCTTTTGTTGTCCTGCATGTCACATTGTGAAAATGTCCTGCATTTGTCTTAGTCTGTTTCAAGCTGAAAATCATCATAGGTATTTTTTTATTTTGCAAACCATGTCTTTTAACCAAAAGACGTTACTAGCACCCTCTCTCTTTCTTTGTCTTATTCTTTATGGAATTAGACAGACTCAACCCTTTATTTTTTACTCTTGGAAAATATTTGTTCTTTTAATGAATTGTTTTCTAATAAATGTTTGTTGTTGGGCTTTAAATTTGTCAAGAAACTAGCTAAATAAACTAAACTAGCCATTTATATAAGCAGGAAAATACGCTTAAAAGAGTGGTGGTAATGATTTTACATTTGGTGGAGTCATGAGTGTTGATTGATTTTTTTTTTATAAATCAAAGGACTTATGTTTGAAGACAAAAAGGTGTGCAAATGGGGAGTTGTGTTAGTACAACATAGTATTTACATGTTCAATGATACAATTTGAACTCGATACAGATGATAAATGGGGAAAAAAATCCAAAGGACTGGTGCCAAAAAAATGCTACTTGCTACTTTTTTAACTTGTCATTGATTACATTTACATGGACATCAATAATCAAATTATTTGCCTTAAACTAATTAAGACAATAATAAGATTAAGACGTTTACATGAGTTGCTTTTTGAATGCTCCTTTCATGTTCCCGTTTTACATGTTACAGCTCATAATTCGATTACCGTCATTGCATCACCACGCTGTCCACATTTCCTCCAGAGTTTCATGTAATTCCAGGTGTTTCATTTATAATTTGTGGACTTTAACTGCAGTTTAACACTTTCATTAAGGAACATTTCATGCATGCCCCCATGACAAACGAGATATTGGATGTGACTATGAACTGCTGGAAGAGTGTTGTTTTAATGAAAGTTCATACCACATGCTGAATAGAAGAAAAAAAACTCTGCATTTCATGATGCTGGTGTCAGTGGTCTTTAATGACTGGGTAGGTGCAAAGAATAATCAAACAGCCATGTGTGTGTGTGTGTGTGTGTGTGTGTGTGTGTGTGTGTGTACTATCCTGTCCTATCCTGTCTCAAAACACTGCAAAAAGCCCTACATGACAGTAATAGTTTGATTGTGGTGTTTACAAGTCTGTAATGCAACTGAGATCGGCATACTCCACATGTCTTAATTCCATTTCTCTTTATTTTGATTATGACCCTAATCAGATTAAATGAATTAAAAATCTCTGTTTACATGGTTAACTCTTAATCAGAATATTGTCTTAATTGTATTAAAATCAAATTAATGGTGTCCATGTAAAAAATAGTTTTTACTTTCAAGTTCTATTATTTTCTAGATATGTACTTCAAGTGTTTTGATGTAATAGTGGACAAAATAATCACAAATTCTAACGTGTTCTCTTCTCCTGCATATAAGTGGCATCCTGCAAGTTACTAAACTCTGAATATGACAGGAGAATGAGTCTGTGCAACTTCAATGCTGACATTTGGGATTTTAATTATTAGCTCCACAACTCGCATAATATCTAGAACTCAAGATAATTCATGCATTGTTTTAATGTATTGTGTAGTTAACTGGCTGATACCTCAAGATCATGTCATTTACTTTCAGGCAATTTTTTTTTCTGTACCTAAATGATACTTTGACCTACTTGATGAAGAAAAGAACCAACTCAGAGATTCATTGGTGGATTGTGGAAATCTAGCTCTCTTTCTACATTACCAGACTTCAAGAGAAATACTGCTACATACTTGGGATGGGAAGATTCCCAAGATGTATCTCTAATATATCGGATCCTATTCTTTGTATCAAGATGCGTATCGGATCGGCATTATAGCTTAGATGCCCAACCCTACTACATACTGATGAAGATGGAGAAGCTTTAACACACTCACCTTCTGACTGACCCTTTTCTTGAAGCTCTCTGATTTTATTCTTCAGTCTCTTAAGTTCTTCTTTATATTTCTCCTCTGCTTCACGTCTGCCTCTGTTCTTCTGAGCTTTCACAAACTTCTGAGTTGAATATGTTTTAGTCTTTGTCTTCTCTATATACTCCAGCAGTTCTGGGATCTGTCTTGAGCTTGAAGGTTCTTTTAGACCCATGACACAGTACAGACCTCCACAATGACTGATCAACTTTTGACATTCTGGGCTGGATTTTATAAAGTTTGTCACTGGACTTTTAATTGTGCCATCACTGATAAATATCACTATGAAATGCTGCTTGGTGTCAAATATCTTTAAAACCTTATCTACTTCCAGTTTGACTCCATCAGTCAGATGTCCAACAGGAATTATGAGGAGGAAAGCATGAACTCCAGGATCACAGAGAGACACACAGTGGAGAGTCTGACGCATTACTTCATCTTCTGAGAGACAACTGAGAGCTGGAAGCTCCAGCAGACTGACCTGATGACCATGAATCTTCTCCTCTTTCTTAAAAAAATCTTCACTGCTTGATCTCTGGTGTGAAGTAGCAATCGGCTTCCCTCTAAAAAGTTTAGATGCTGAGACCTTAAGTGATCCATCACTTCCACACAGCACCAGATTCAGCTTCTGTTTTCCGGAGATATTTTCTAGGACTTAAAAACATAAGACATTAATCTTAACTAAACATACACACACAGAAACAAAGCAAAATACTCATTGTCAATAGTTTACTTACAGTTGGTGTGAATCCACTCGTGTATATCAACTGTAAATAAAAATAAATACATTTTTTATTAAGTTTTACAGTGCATAATTGCTGCAGCAAGTTAATTGTGTGGCACTCATTCCAAGAGTGTATCTATATTCAGATGTCCATGTGATAAAGGAGATCCGGAATTTGTCAAAAATTTCAATTTCAAACTAAAATCCTAAAACAGAGTTACTACCGTTGGCATTTGTTTGGCAGTATGGTGCTGATTGGTTTAAACTGCTAAAATGTCATTTAAATGTAGCTTCAACAGACTCTAATGATCCCAACAGAGTTTTAATGAAATTCCTTAACAAAAAAAAGCTATTTTCTTAAGGGGTGGTCCACTACAATATCATATGTTTAACTGTAGTTGATGTGTAATGCAGCTATTTGAACATAAACAACATCTCTGAATGTACAACGCTCAAAGTTCAATGCAAAGGGAGACATTGGCTTTTACAGAGTTAGCTTAGCAAAGCCTACAGCGAACAAAGTTTAAGGACTACAAAAAATACATCCAGGCTAATGAGATCACAAGCACTTCAGGTTACGAACATTTACCATGACCAGAGGCACTGTACTGTTATAGCAGAGAAAGCTAAAATGGAGAGAGGAGAGAAGTGCTAACAGTTTTATTTAATTATGTTCCAGAGAATTATATAAAAATATATAGCTTAAGCATTTGACAAAGGAGAACTTCCAGAATCTTTTCCAGTTTAGTGCTGGATTCAGCTAAAACTCCTCAAAGGAGCATTTCTAGCAAGCAAAAGCTGTGGATTGTGAGCCTCATCCTGTAGGTGTTTTTATTTATTAAAATATATCAACTACTTGAAGTTTCTAGCGTTAATGGTATGTTGTAGCAAGGACATAAACAAGGATGTAAACGACAGGAAATGCTGTTTGGCACCACTTACAATTTAGCAAAAAATTCATATCCGTCAAACCTCTAAAAACACCTACACTCCTCAGCAGCGCTGCAGTGTCTCTCTATGCGGACGCTTTCTGTGTCCCGTTCAGGAAAACACACTAGATAGAAGGATTCAATTGCAAGTAAAATTTAATGAAAATTAAGTCAGGAATGATCAGCGAGCAACAATGCAAACATATCCAGCGTCGGGAGAAGGGGCAGTAGCTGAATCTGGTTAACTGAGAGTCCTAGAGTAAACCAGATAAACAAGGTTCCTGACAAGTGTGGCGAGTGTTCCAATGAAGCGTCACCACAAGTACAAACCACCAACACCTGTCACCTCATCAGCACCGATCGCCACCTGCAGCTCATTAGGACTGGAGCATATAAACAGAGAAAGAGAAGACACAGGGTGAGCTTGATCTCTCCAAGGAAGACACGCTAATGCTTCTTTCTCTGTTACACCCAGCAGATAGCAGTGGCTAGACCGGCACCTCAGATTGTTTTCACCTATCCTAACCTTTATCACCCCTGAGGATTTTCCACATTACCCGGCCAAAGGACTCATACCTGCACAGCTACCCTACCCTCACCTCCTTACCTTGCACTGTAAATAAATCACCCTCTGGGTCGTTACACCATATCTGTTTGACTGCTCATGTTTTATCCCTCGTCTCGCCACAACTGGCTGAGAATGCGGGCAAATTGAGTGGATAAAACCCCACATCTGGTAACATTGATAATTTTTTTTTTTTTTTTTTTTTTTTTTTTTTTTTTTTAGGCGAGCGGCTGCTCTCTCTCTCATCCCTCAAAACGGTGTGGAGGAATACACCCCTCTGTGAGACAAAATGGAGGATATCATGCGCCGCCTCTCTGAGATAACCACACGACAACAACTGTTCACCGAACAGCTCTCCGTCAGACAACAGAAAATGGAAGAGTGCCTGTTCCAGATGGCTGAACACCTCCCACTCCCGGAGTCACGTGCCTCTGCTCACCGCCATTTGACAAAGCTCGGTGACCTGAATGATATTGATGCGTATCTGCATACGTTTGAGGTCATCGCAAAGAGAGAAGAGTGGCCCGAATCCGAGTGGGCTCAAATCCTGGCCCCCTTCTTAACCGGAGAGTCACAGCGGGTGTACTTCTCGTTGGATTCCCCCCAAAATGAAGGTTATACTGTGCTAAAAGGAGAGATCCTGGCACGTGTGGGTTTATCCCTGGTGAGAGCAGCGCAACAGTTCGCTACATGGGCATATGAGGAGGGTGCCCCAGTACGGGCGCAGGCAGCTCAACTCAGCAAGCTTGCCCGCTTGTGGCTCCTCGGGGGATCCCCAACCGCCACCCAGGTTGCTGAGAAAGTCGTCATTGAGAGGTTGCTGCGTGCTCTTCCTAGAAGACTCCGGGGGCCTGTAAGCATGAGGAACCCTGCAAGTTTGGCAGCTTTAGTGGAGGCGGTGGAGTTGGCAGAGGCCACACTGACCCGGGACATTATCGAGAGAGCAGCCATTCCCTCCCGGAGGGTGAATTCACCGTGGCGGCAGGTGGAGAGTACCTCACGGCCCGTCAGCAGACCGGCTGTCCCAAGTCCGGTGGATGAGCCCATTCCCACTGAACCAGTGAACTCCACTGCACGTGCCTGGTTGGCTGGCTGCATCGTTCACCGGACCCTACCATCAGGTGCTCAGTCTCGCAGAGTGAAGCTTGAGGGGAAGACTATCACGGCTGTATTGGATACCGGGAGCTCTGTGATGCTGGTACAGCCAGGTTTGATCAAGCCTCGAGTGGGATCTAAAGCCACAATCCCGATAACCTGTGTGCATGGTGACACACGCTACGTCCCCGCACAGCGGATAACGATTGCAGCCAGCAACGGCGCATGGCCCCTGGAAGTGGGCATTGTAGCTGATCTCCCCGTCCCCCTTTTGCTTGGCCGGAATTGGTCAGGGTTTGAGGAGTTGTTTTCTTGGCCAACAGCAACCCCCTCCCAGACACGCCGCCGCCCCCGGGCTCGGACTCAACGGGTCCGCCAACCAGCTCTCCTGGCCACAGAGAGCGACAGAGGGGGTGAGTGTTCGAATCAGTCTTCTAATGTCTTTATGGATTTGTTCCAACAGGTCTCTAGGGGAGGTTCCTTTGGACGAGCCCAGCGTGAAGACGACACACTTAGAAACTGCTGGTCCCAAGTTCGAGTAGTGGAAGGCCAGAAAAAGCTCCCTGCTCCTCACCCCCTCCCACACTTTATCATCCAGAATGGTCTGCTGTACTGTGTTGCTGAGCGGCGGGGGGAGAGGAGGACATTACTGGTGGTACCAAAAAGCAAAACATCCACCATCCTGGAGCTCGCCCACACTCACCCAATGGCGAGTCACTTAGGAGCAGCCAACACGATTCAGCGCATTCGGGACGATTCCACTGGCCTGGGCTAAATGGTGAGGTCAAGAGATACTGCCAGGCATGCCAGACGTGTCAGAAAACTGCTCCCCAATGTCCTCCCCCCAGTCCGCTGATCCCGTTGAGGTACCCTTCGACTGCATTGGTCTGGACCTGATAGGGCCCCTGCCAAAATCCGCCCGAGGCCACGAACACATCCTGGTCATCCTAGACTATGCCACCCGATACCCTGAGGCCATACCCCTATGCAAGGCCACCTCCAACGCCATTGCGAAAGAACTCTTCCTGCTGTGTAGCCGGGTGGGCATCCCTTCAGAGATCCTGACTGACCAGGGTACTCCATTTATGTCCCGGCTGATGGCAAACCTCTGCCACCTCCTGAAGGTGAAACAGCTGCGAACATCCGTTTACCACCCTCAGACAGATGGGCTCGTTGAGCGGTTTAACCAAACCCTAAAACGGATGCTTCGCAGGGTCGTGGCAGAAGATGGTCGTGACTGGGACCTCATGATCCCATACGTGCTGTTCGGCATTCGTGAGGTGCCCCAAGCCTCTACTGGGTTCACTCCTTTTGAACTACTGTTCGGCCGACAACCCCGGGGCCTCCTGGATGTGGCACGACAGGCCTGGGAACAGGAGCCCGCACCCCAGCGGACCCTCATCGAACACGTACAAGACATGAGGCAGCGAATTGAACGGGTAATGCCCCTGGTACGACAGCATCTCACTGAAGCCCAGCACGCCCAACGACGTCTCTATGACAGGCCTGCCCAAGCCCGAGAGTTCCAACCCGGAGACCAGGTCCTGGTGCTAGTGCCCACAGCAACTTCCAAGTTACTGGCTTCCTAGAAAGGGCCCTATGTGGTTGTCGAGAAGGTCGGGCCAGTCAACTATCATGTCCGTCAGCCGGGACGACGTTGAGAGGAGCAGAGTTACCATATTAACTTACTGAAACAGTGGGTTTCCCCTTCTAGCCAGCTGGTAACCTTTGCAGAAAGCCCACATCCTACGGTACACCAGCTCTCAGCCACTCCGAAGACGGAGCTTGAAACCCTGGTCAGTCAGTTTAAGGATGTGCTCAGTGAGCATCCTGGGCGCACCACTGTCCTTCAGCACGAGATC